CTGAAGTAAACACAAACCTGCAAACACGGACTCTGTGTGCTTCTGATTGTGACACACCATCTCCACACTTGTGTATAAAACACTAACCCTCGCCACAAAACCACAGTCAGGCACATGCTCTTCTCTTCTGTTCCTTTTGATGACCCCGCTCAGCTGTTCTACAGCCTTTGTAGTTTCCGGTTCCTGAAGTACCCGGCAGTCCTTTTGCAGAGACTGAGTTGAATTCATTGATGAAATCACAACTAGTAACCCGCCCCTAGTTCCTGATTGTGTTCCATGCTGATTCCTTGGTGGTCTCTTCCTGCTGCTGTAGCTTGTGCTGTTCACAGTGTTGGAGTCCTACACGGTCATTCCTGATTACAGAAGTGGATTCGCCCTGCTTGCCGACTTCACTTGCCTCTGCAGACGACCTCGTGCATTAGCCCTGCATGCTGACTTCACCCTTATCTGAAGATAACTTCATGGCCCCTTGAGATTTTGTATCTAGAAAATCATTTTTCCTGTGAATACATATGGACCTATTTCTTTCTGCTTAATCTTTATACATTTTCTTGCCTTAAAGTGTCAGTGAGGAACCCCAGAGACTCATTTAGCCCAGGTGGTGACACTTGCTCATGGCTGACCTAGGGAGAGCTGCAGGGATAACTGACCTGAGTCGTTCAGTCAGCTCCATCACTACGCACCAACCTTACAGGACTATAAAAGCTCGCTTTTTACTGCTACTATTTTCAAAAATTCATGCCCATAACTTAAGATAATTTATTCATAAATAGTAAGATTTGATGATTAATGTAACGGGTTATGGTGATTGAACCATTTGCTTGTTGCGATCCTCTTCCCTCAGCCTTCGGAGTGCTGGGTTCCAGGTGAGCCATCATTGCTCCAGTGACTTTACTGTTGAGTGTCCCATTCGTGTTCCGTTTGAAGGTTGCATGTTAAGTATCCATTTGCATTTTAAGTATCAATTCCACTGCAGTTTGATGACTGCTTGCTGAACATATTAGCTGATTTGATTCCCTAGCACTGTGACTTGGAAATTCACATCTCCATAGGTAGGATAGGTAGATGGCCCCTCCAGCTCCAGGCCCCATTCCTTCAAAGACAGAACCAGCTGCACACACTTCATTTCAGCTCCTGGGCTCCAGGACACCTCTTTCCTGGGGCCACCTCGCCATCAGGGGTCTCCTTGGGAGCTTCTTGCCAGGCAGCCCTGTTCATTCTGCTCCTTTCTGACCAGCGTGGCTCTGCTATGCAACAGATGCCCCTCCCCTCCCCTTGACCATAGCCTTCAATAGGACACCATTTTATGTTGTCACTGAGATGGACCTAACACCACAGTCCCCTATTAAAATAACACCACACTTCCCCATTACCCGTAAGTTGAGGGCACACCTGAGAAGCACGCCAGCTTCTCAAACATCCACTCCACACCTGTCCATTTCCTTTGTGTCATCTGCTGTGTCTGTGACCCAGTTTGGTGACTCTCAACACTGGCCACACACTGAAATTGTCTTGTTGGGACAGAGAAACCCAAGCAGTAATGGGCTAGTCCTGAGGAGCTCTGGGAGGGGAGCATGACTTCCCAAGTCTCTAAGCTATGCCATACGGCCATCTCTGGAGAGCGGGGAAGAAAGGACGCACTTTGCCAAGGTGGCCCTTCTTGTAATTTTCAAAATGGATTGCTCTCTTGCTCTAACTTAGTGAGGATGAAAACAGACGTAAGAGGTGCAGGGAACCCGCTCCCCTAGGAGGAAGGCGGCCGGGGTGCATTCACGTAACTGTCCTACAGTAGTTGAGCAAGTGGAAAGAGCACAGTGGTCTCCAGCAGACATTTGTCATCGCTCTGTGGGAAGGAAGGGAGTGGGTGGGGGTGGCAGAAGCCCCTGTGCTCTCCTTTAAAGTGCACGGCTCCAAGCAACGCTGTGAGTGACATTTCACTGACACTCTGGACGGGGTGTGTGGGCAATGAAATTGGCTATTTTATGAAGAAAAGAAATTCTGATCACTTTCAGAAGATCTAACGGCAATATGGAATGATGATGGAATAAGCCAGCAGAAAATTCTCTATCTCATTCAGCACATGGTAGTCAAATATGAAAGTGAAAGGCTGTTATGTGCTCAGAAACTTAGATAGCCTTGTTCTCATGAGGCTCTCCCCAAGAGGAATTGGTCCAAACATTCAAATTAATAAAAGGGCAATGAAGGAGGACCTGGAAATTCTACAGGTGAGATGCCAGGACACCAGGGAGCCACGGCTTTACTGGTCACAGTAAACAGGCACAGGGGCCCTCGAGGCACAGTCCTGAGCACATTTAGAAGCAGTGACCAGACCTCCCCCACTCCCAGACCCCGTGACCACATCTCCCCAAGACCAGCTGGACCACTGAGATAAGAGTCTTCTATTAGAAAGAGAGGCCCAGTCTTTGTGTTGATAAGCCCTGAGGTCAACACCGAGGGTATCACATTTCTGGGGGCACTGTGTGGTCTATGATACGTATGAACTCACTTTCCCACACTCAAAGCAGAGGTGACGATGAGTTCTTCGGAAAGTCCTCTTGCCTTTTGTGTCTTTTGGTTCTTTCCAAAACGCACCACTCTGAATGCTTATTCATTGTGTGCATCTCAGAAGTTTCCAGAGTTTCCCCTTATCCACGGATATAGTCAAATATTTACTTATGTGTTTAAATATTTAATATCCAACGCGAAGAGGTCATCACTTCCAAGGACTCGATTGGTGTAATTTTAAAATTCTGGTGAGGGACGAGCCTAGGTCCGAGTGTGAAAACACCTCCCATCCCTGGGCAGGACACCGGCCCAGAGGGCTCTGCTGTACCCTTGTCGTGCTGACCTTGTGTTTCCGTATTCAGTTGCGTTCCCTGCAAGCTGTTGGTTCTACACTTCCAAACAATTCTCCAGGAACCTTCCTGTCCATCTCAAAAACTTATTACAAGTGGCCTCTTCCTCCCCTTGCCCTTCAGAGGCCAGCAACCAGTCACCCCGAATCATCCAGGGATCACCTGGTTCCAGCCCCATCCCTCGCAGTGAGGGGCATCTGTGGTCCCTAGGCCTTTGGACACCTGCATTCCCCCACTGTTCCTTGTCACCTGATTTGTTTTCTTCCTGTGTCCTCTCTCGGTATCCAGTTGACCCTGTGTTCCCCTCTCTTGTGTTCTTAGACCCACTCCCTCATCCTCCCTGCTGTCCATGGAGTGGACAGCTCACAGCAGATGCTGAGATGCCCCGGGATGTGTGGGATCCTGCACGATCTCTCATCCCGCTGTCTCTCTGACTCCTGATCTGACTCTCAGAGCCCCTCGCCGTGAGTTCCCCTTCTCTAGCCACAAGCTCTCCAGGCCTTTGGTCTTTGGTCTCTCAGAAGGTCCTTTGTGCACACATCACTCACACAAGTCAATGTTTTAATTGTTCTGTACTTTAACTCAAATACAGTCTTGCATGCCCACATATAATTATCTAAAAGCTCACTGGGCACATGGAAGGTTAAGTATCACACAGACATACACACACACACATACACACATTCACACACACACAGTACTCTGAAATCCACCTCCAAGGACAATGCATTAGTGTATAATTAGTTTATATTCCCAGAAGCCCCAAGTGTCACTGTCTCAGACTCACACAGAATGTTTTCAAACTTCTGCCTCAGCCAAGGGACACGAGGGTCCCCCATGGTTTTCCATCTCATCTCTTCAGAGAGAAACCAATTTTCCTTTTCTCTGGTGTGAACCATCCTTCCACTCTTCAGTTACTAATCTGAGAGCTAGTCTTCTATAGTAAGCAAGTGACTTTTGTGTCTAGCAAACAGATCACAATCATTTCCCCCAGCTTTGCTTCTCTCCCAGTGTCCTCAGTCTTTTCAAAGTTTTTAGGGCTTGCAGCTTCCATGTATTGGAGAAGTCACCCACATTGGTATATGTGCTTTGAATCTTCAAGAAAGTGTCCCATCACCCTTCATTCCCATGTAGAAGTGACCCGGCCCTTGTTCTATGAGATTTGTTAACACACAGCCTTCTCCACTCCCATCCAGGGTCCATTTTTCCTCAGAACACACAAGTCTAGAGTCCCCACACATCCAAAGATGCTCTCATTGCTTCCATTGAAGTAGCCCACCTCCAAGCTAGGATCTGACACATCTTTCAGGGAAACTCCCTTCCCATCTCTTAGTCTCCCAGCAAGGTTGGTCAGAAGCCCAGACACCCTCCTGCAACTCCATCCCAAACTACTGGTCCTATCCTGGCCCTCCTCAATGTTTCTGAGTCCAGTCCACCTGATCCTGTTGGGTTGAAGGCAAGGGGTGTATGCCATAAATGTTTATCAACACACAATGTGTGTTGTGATGGGTGGCATTGCCAACTGACAGAATCTAGAATAGCCTGGAATATAGACTTGGGGCAGTTATGATGACATCAACCGATACAGAAAGGACCCATTGTAACTGTAGGCAGGATCTAGGCTTAATAACCGGGGAAAGCAAGCTGAGCATAGGCCTGTAACATCTGCTTAGGGATGCCATGTGACCAGCTCATCCGCCCTCCTGCCATGGTGACTTCCTTGCCTGGATGAACTGTCATTGGGACTTCTAGCCTGAAACAAATGCCTTCTCTCTTAGGCTGCTTTTCTCGACGTGTTTTATTATCCCAGCAACACTGAGAGCAGCAACACAGCCTTTTGTGAAGACTGCCTTGGTTTTCATTATTACAACTTGCAAAACACATCGCATGTAACCACACAACACTACCCCTTGGCCCTGCTGTGCCGACGGTGTGTGGGGGGTTGCTGAGTTTCTGAGCAGAACACTAAGTCTGAAATAAGACTTGCCCAAGAATCCCCTTCTCCAGAGGTGGAGCAACTGAGGAAAACGCCAGCTTGAAATGAAATACAGACAGACTTAAGGATCGCTTCCCTAAGTCTCTTGAATTGAGGAATAGCATCTTTCCCGAGGGCCTCTTCTAAGGAACAGAAAGTCACAGCAGAAATACATGCAACCAAGACCCCCAAAGGCATTTACTTTCTGATGGATCTCAACCAGAGCAGGTAGACAGGTGAAGGTGATTGTCTGTAGTGGGTCACACACGTGATCACAGAGAGGGAGTGACCAGAGATCGTAATCCTAAAATGTGTGGCTGCAGGCTAGTACCATTCCTCGCTAGGAAATACCCTGCTGGGTTTATTAGTGAGCGTATCAGAAGAGGGGCAAAGGTGAGGAATGCAGGGGAGAAAGGCTGCTTCTACACAGCGTGCAAGGAGCAACACGGGGCAGGTCTGGCCAGGCATAGGGCAGTCTTCTCCCTTTGTTAAAACAGGAGCACGTGGGTGGGAGTGTTTACGTGTTTACTGGTGTTCTCTGATGTTTCCATAAGCTTCCTGCCATCTGGGGGATGGATCAGGTGGACAGCTTCACTCTGTGCTAGAAGCAGCTGTCACGAGATTCCAGGAATGGGCGATGTTCTTGTCACCTTCAAGGTCACTGTGGCACATCAGTAGGCCCCTCGTCCCTTCAGGTGAGAAGATGGCAGATCCACATGGCGAGATGTCTGGCAAAAGCAACACGAACTTTCTTCAGGTCTGAAAGGCAGAGAAAGTTCAGTTGCTTTCCTTGGTCCCTGCTCAGAGGAACAAAGGGCACATGTGCAGGGACCTCTGTGATGTTATCCACAACCCACAGAACAGTGACATCGGAGAACTGACCGCCCTCTCCTTGGACAATGGCAGATATGAGAGGTCACACTGGGTTTCCAGCCTGGGATCCTAGTGTGGTGCCACCCCACCCCATCACTGTGATCCATCTTTGTACCTCTAGGAACCATTTGCTGCTGGCTGTTTCTCTTAGTTTTCTATTGAGAGATCAATGTCGTGCATCCCGTGACAGGGTGGATGCCTCGGGCACAGCTGCCCGTGGACAGTTATGACTGACAGCTCCTTCAAGCCATGGTCTACTGAGGGCTGACCCACATGGCTGCTCTAGGCATCAGGAAATCATAGGGCAACACCACAACATAGATATTATGATTTCAAATACTTAGATTAGTCTTGTGACCACAAAGAATGGGGACTTTCTGGTGGTGGTCGGGTGCATGTGTGTGTACACTCTTTTTAAGACTTTATTGTTTTATTTAATTGTGTGTGTGAGTACACGTGCACACATATGCACAGGCATGCATGTGAACATATATGAATTGAGTCCAAGTGCCTACAGAAGCCCAAAAGTAGAGTTAAATACTCCTAGAACTAGACTTATAGGGGGGTCATGATCTTCCCAACTTGGGTACTGAGAATCAAACTGGGGTCAATTTCTTAACTTCTGAGACAGCTCTCCAACCCCACATGTGACGCTTGATATTACCAATGTGAAATTTAACTCCAAAGGCTCCCCATGCAGAGACTCTTCGGGTTGCTCTGGTTCCAGTGACATTCAGAAAGCAGACCTGCAGCCCAAGAGAAGGTGGGGGTTGGAGCCATGCCAGGCAGGCTCCACGGGCCTCTCTCTCTCTCTTTCTGGCCAGCAGTATGTCTCAAGTTACACTGTTGGGTGGCTGGAATTTCAATGTCGCTGCCCTATGTCAGGATGAACTCTGCTGATAATAAAGTGGGAGATGAAAAAACAAAACAAAAACAAGCAAACAAGCAAAGAAAACTAGTCAGTTGTTGAAGAGCTGGACACCTGACAGAAAGGTCCAAAGCAGACCTGCAAGCTGGGGGCCCAAGGTGGGTTGGCCGGAGCTGAGCTGTTCTGTTAACTCTGTGAGTTCTCCCTCTGCGGGAACAGCGATGTTAGCAAAGGTTGGGCAGGGGACCATAAGCCTCGGGGATGCTGGGGATGCTGTCACTTCCTTGACTCTCCAGAGAGTACCCTCCTCTCTCCCAGCTGGGGCCTCTGCTCACTTCCCCAGCTCAGCTTCTGTGAGCACACCCCCTTACTATATGTCCTGCTCCAGAAGGGCATACATGATGTGACTGGCATGTGCCTTCCCTGAAACCCTTAATTCTTGAGGAAAGAGATGGAGTCTTCCACACCATAATTTTATTTACTTAGCCCTCTTTGGGGGCATTTGGGGAAGAAACGGGGGTGCACCTGTGACTCCAGCACTGGAGACATGCCAACAAGAGCATGAGGAGCTCAAAGTCCTCTTTGCCCATCTACTGAGTTGGAGGCCTGCCTCGGCTGTATAAAACCCTGTCTCAAAACCCCCAAAACAACAGCAGAGGCATTGGTGAGGAGCATACCCTTGTGGTTTGTTCTGAGGAGCGGGGGCACTGGGAACTCCACCCCCACAACCTTTGTTCCTGCCTCACAGGAAACAGCTGGCACTCAGAACAGTGCCTTCCCACTTTGGGATCTCATTCCGGAATAGCCAGCTTTCCTGTATTCTCTTGAACAACTCTTTTCCTCATAGACATATTTTTGAAAAAGCTTCCTGCACCTTTGAGTTATTGATATGGGTGTCCTTTGAGTATCAGAAAAAACTGACTTTCACAGACTGACTTGCATACAATCTATTATACCCTTGAAGCTATGGGGTATACCTAATAGAAATTTAATAGTAATAGGAGTTTTTATCTCCTGCCACATGTCTTGAAATCTTATGACCTACTAAAGGCTGATATATTAATTTTTCTAAACTAGAGCTAATCCAGTCAATTGGTTTCTACTGTGATCTCATGACTTCACTAAAATATGTTTGTACATATGCATACAAAATAAAAAGGAAAAAAGACTTTTTATAGACTTTCTATAAAATATACAGTCTACAAAATATAAAATATAGACTGTCCTAGCCGTTAGGGACAGCTATGGTTGAAAATGTCTAACAGCAGGAAAGAAAGCTGGCCGCAAGTCAGTTTGAACTATTTTAGAATTTACCCTACATTGAGACCCCAAATGGGATAAAAGCGAGTGATGGGCTTAACTGGGCGGAAGTAGGAATAGGGGTGTTCCTGCGCTGTGTTTCTCTGAATTGGTGTCTTTTCCTAGGCAAAGAGCAATTGCTTTTTTTCTGGGAGGAAGCCACCCTCATCAAGTTTTTCCCCCATCCTTGACTCTCCAGAGTGTGGGAGCCTTTGATGCAAGAGACCAGAAGATTCCTGCCTGTTCCTCTTTGGGGCTGGAGCCATCTCCACCATCGTGACTGTGGAGAAGGAAGCTGGGCAGGGATGGCTCAGATCTTGAATAAAGTGGTTTGGTACTCCTGAGAACAAGGTGGGTGTTGGCACCAGAAGATAGGACAAGTCTTTAAGGGAAGGCGCATGGACTGTCGAGGAGAGGGTAGCCCACTGAGATTTCTCTGCAGGACATTGGATCCCCTGGAGTTAGAGTTATGGGTGGTTGTGAACCATCCTAGGTCTTGGAAACCACCTCCAGTCCTCTAGAAGAGCAGCAAGTGCTCTTAACCATTGAGCAATCTCTCCAGCAGCACAACATAAAACAGAATCTTTGTGTGTGTGTGTGTGTGTGTGTGTGTGTGTGTGTGTGTGTGTGATGTGTGTGATGTGCGTGAGAGAGGCAGGGGAAGGGAGGAGAGAACACGGGTGGACACGTGCTACATGTATATGGAAGGGTTTTAGTCCCTGTCTTCTACTTTGTCTGAAGCAGGGTCTCTTGCTTAATGGACCCGCAGCTCCCTATGGCTTCTCGCATCTCTACCTTCCGTCTTACCCTGGAGCGCTGGGATTACAGATGCATGCTACCAAGTATGGCTTTTATGTGGCTCCTTGGGGATCTGAACTCCTTGATTCTAAACTATATTTTTAAATAAATGTATTAATTTATATGTGCAAAATGTAAGTACTCCAGTGGGGCACATGGGGAGAGGTTTTGAGATGGCTACAGACCCATCACATTGCCCAAGAGTACTTCAGAGCAGTGGGCCACTAAAGGCTTACCTTTAGCCAGGAGTCTCCTGGGAATGGTGCTGGAACACAAGGTCCTGTCACACAGATTTCTGTCTTCCTGGTTCCGCTGCTTACACAGCAGTCTGCGGACAGGGACATGCTTCACAGATGGAGGCACAACTACACTCCCGTGGGATGGTGACGACTGCCTGGATTGTGAACTGGGTGAGTGTCTACGAGGGGTTGGTGTTTTCAGGCAGAAGGGACAGCCTGTGAGTTTCCTGTCCCAGCAGTGGTAAGGCTAGAGGGACAGATGGCAAAGTTGAGTGTGTCTTAGGAAGGCTGACGCTGCTGAGGGGGCAGCAGATACAGGGAAACTGGGTTCCTACTGTGGAACTCTGCTCAGGGGACAATAGATGGGAAACTGGGATTCCCCCCCTGTGGAACTCTGCTTAGGGGGCAGTAGATGCGGGAAGCTGTGTTCCCTTCTGTGGAACTCTGCTCAGGGGGCAGTAGATGCGGCAAGTTGGGTTCCCTCCTGTGGAACTCTGCTTAGGGGGCAGTAGATGCGGGAAGCTGGGTTCCCTCCTGTGGAACTCTGCTCAAGGGGCAGTAGATACAGGAAAACTCTGCTGGGAACCTCTTTCTCTCCCTTTTGGTTGTCACTCCTGGCTCCTGCCAGGCTCTCAGCCCATGAGATTAACTCTGGCTTTCACTTTCTTGTTCTCTCCACCCCTGAGTCCTTCCAGGAAACCCATAGAGTAGCTGCTTATCTCCTCCTACACTTCCAATGCCACTACATGGATAATCTTGACAGACAGGCGGAAGCCATGAGCCAGGAGGGCGCAGATGTAGCGAAGGCAGCCTGGTGCTTATCCTCAGTCAGTCCATGGGGGAAACAAATATAGGAGGCAGCTGGCTCTGCGCAGGGAGGAAGACACAGTGTATCCCCATGGCTACCCTTCACCCGTTGGCAGTCTTGACCCCTCCTCCCTCAAGTTCATCATCTTTCTGGGCTAAATGGTTAGTCTTTAGGGGAAGTCAGGCAACAGAATCACCTCATTTGTAAACCTTTGAATCTATACATGCTCCATAATGTCAAAACTACTCCATAATTTGAGGGAGGAAATTATAAATATGGCTTTAAAAAATGTTTGACTATAGCATAGCATATTTTTGCCACTGACTTTGAAAGTTGGTACATAGAATTTTGGTTAAGGGTTGGTGAGATGGCTCGTGCCCACAAGCCCAATAACATGTCCTAGAGTCCACAGGAGAAGGAGACCTCCCAAAAGATGTCCTGTGGCCTCCATGTCAATGCTGTAGGGTCTCTCTCTCTCTCTCTCTCTCTCTCTCTGTGTGTGTGTGTGTGTGTGTGTCCACACACATACATCTCTGTGTTTGTGTACCTTCACTCTTGCATGTGTACACACACACACACACACACACACACACACACATGAATAAATGAACAAATGAACAAATAACATTTTGAAAAAGAAATATGGTCAAAGTTCTGATGTCTTGCAAAGCTAATGAACACATATAAATTTGAAAGAAAAGTTTGAAACATTGTTTCTAATGTTGATGAAACAGCCATTAAAGCTAGCCTCAACAAGGGGCAAGTGGGACCTTTGAAAACCGAAAGCCATGGGAGGTCGAGGGCTTGTCTCTGTTGTTTGTTCAGTAATAACTTCCAGGAGAAGGTTTTGCTGTAATCAGAGGCCCATCCCCCCCCCCCCCCGTGACCCTATGGCCCATCCCCTCTGACCCCATGGCTCACCCCCTTGGTGACTTCCCTTTCTGACTTCCTGGAGATTAATATTTCCCTATTGATTTAGCACAGTGTGTGTGTGTGTGGAGGGGGGGGAGTGTTTAGAATCCAAAATATCCCAAAGAGTTATCACAAATATTGTCATGTGATCTAGGCACCATGCCAAATTTTTAATATTATTACCAACATCAGAGAGGTAATTTTTTAACATGACATTTATCCAGGATTCTCTTAAAAACCCAACTCTGGAACCATCTGGAATAAACTGTGGTAGGCTTTGTCAACAGGAGTGGACACAACCCTGATGACAATGTGGGGAAAGAATGGATTTAAATTAAAGCCTCAAGAATCTGGGTAAAAAATACCCTTAGGTGGTTAGACACCAGAGCTGTTTCCAATTCATCAGTGAGCAGGGAAACCAAGTCGCAGGAAGAAGCGCGTGGCATCGCATGCATCTGTGTTCAAAAGGCAGAAAAGGCAGAGTGCAGAGCATTCGCCTGGTCATGCTCTGCCCGGGAGGTGATGGTGACTGCTGATCTGGTGATTCTACAGAATGCTGCCTGCACTGCTCCACCGCACAGTGGCTCTTCCTCTTCCCGCTGAACTTCGTGGATGCTTCCGGGGTACTCATCTAAACTCTTCCCTTCATGTCCCAACTGACCTGAGCACAGACAGCCTGGCATTATCAGTGAGTAAATTGTGCAAGGCAGAGTGTCTCTTCTACCCCAGGGGCACAGAGAAAGTGAAGTCTAGGATTGGCATTTGTGGCTAGCCACATGCCTCCTTGGATGAATTCCTGTTTCCATCAGAAACAAGAAAATCTTGTGGAGAGATAACAACTGTTGAGATCCTTGAGTGTCTGATGGGAATATCTTTAAAATTCTAGAAAATCTAGGGCCAGCGAGATGGTCCGGTGAGCAAAGGCACTTGCAACCAAACCTGATGACCTGAGTTTGTTGTCTGAACCCACACAGTGTCAGGAGAGAACTGACTTGTGCAAGTGTCCTCTGACCTTCACACCCAATGAATGAATTTACGAATGAATGAATGAATGAGTGTAAAAATAAAGAAAATCTTACAAAGTCTCATAGTCCAGCTTTGAGGTCTGCTGCATAGCTGCATAGACAGCTGCATGGTCGCCTAGCTGCATGGCTGCAAAGACACATCAGGTGTTCACCAACTACATCCTGGCTGACTGTTCATGGCTTCAGTGTTGCTCTAATTAGAACAGGGATTGGCTGGGCTAGAACATCATTCTAAATTATGACAGCATTATGTCAACAGGAAATGGCCAATTAACATCATGCTGACCTTATCTGCCTCCTTATCTGCCTTCTAATCTTTGTTAGATTAGAACATGGACTCCCACATCTGGGAGCGCCTAACGACAATGATGTCATCCACTGCATCTCTCCTTCTCCCTTAACACCTCTTCCTGCACATCACTGGGAATCTCAGGGAGAAGACACCCGGTATCCCCACGACTCCCTTCACCGTCCAGGAGGACAACACTGTCTGTGTGGCCTACAGAAAAGATTCCTTCATGGATGCACAAGGTAAATGACCACACCCACGTGGGACAGAGGCAGGAGGATCCTGACAGCATCCTGTTCCATCCCATCTCAGCCAACAGACTGACCAGGCTGGGGCGGGACTTGGGAGAGCATCCTGAGGGTGACAGTGCTGAAAGGAGCGCCAAACAGAAGCTAGGCCATGTGACTCTCCTGGCATTCCTGTTGTCCTGTAGCACAAGGGAAACCGGGGAAAGAGAACGGGAGATCTATCCAGACCATGGCCGCAGCCTTCTCTCAATCTGTAACTATAGCTGAATGAAAGAGGAAAAATCCCTGGAACGTTGGTCTTAACTGACCTTTCACTGGTGGCTCAGCACTGCAGTGTAGAGGACCAATCAGTGTGGGCCAAGCTCAAAGTGACTCAGGCTTCCAAGGTTTTTGCATCTCCACGTTCTTCACATCCATATCCATATGTGTCTGACACACGTTTTAAGACAAATTTTAGAAAGAAGCAAAGAAAAATGGATTACCTTGGAGGAGGAATTTCCAGGCTTCAACTTGCAAATCATGTTCTTCCATGTTCTTTCTGGTACCACACAGTCCCTCCACCGACCACAGGTCTGGGCAGCCGACACTCTGAGCCTTCAGTGCAGGGTGGACAGCAGCAGTTGGGGATCTTCCTCCATGGGTTTGTTTGGATCATAAGAGGAAATCTGGGTACTTTTCCCTCCAGGAGACCAAAGGGCAGGGCGGGCACTGCAGCCAGAGCAACAATCGGGGGCAATGGAAAATCCCAGCTCCCAGACTATGAGTGACTGACTTCCCAGAGCGGCTCCTTTGCTCCTGGTCCCCTTTGTTTACGCAGTCATGTGCATTAGAAGACTTTTAGGCTTGTGGCACGGGACTCACGGTGGAGTTTTCCCCTCTGAGGTATGCAAGTCTACCTTCGAAACAATGGAGCTGAATTAAAATATCTCCTACGGCCAGAGTCGCTGCTTTCTCGACAATGCTAGCAAAGCCGCTGCTGCATCTCATTGTACCGCCCGCTTCTCCAGTGACTGCCACAGCTGCTCCTCAAAATGAAGGTCCTTTCTTCAAGGAAATTGCAGAACAATATTTTATAATTATCCAACGCTGACTTCAAATGAACTGCATTGTAACTTTCCCAAGGAATTCGAGACCGTTGTTATGAAGGCATCGAAAAGAAGGGGAAGTGGTGAAGACCGGCCTTTGAAGTCCTTTGGGATTTAATTGCCCATCAGGCCACGGAGAGTCTTGGCACATGACCGTTTAATAATAGGAAACTCAGTCTTGCGACAGGAAGGAAGGTGTAATTCATCAGCGCTACCCACCATTTACATGGCCGTCCACCCAGATTTCTGGGGAAAAGTGCAGAACGCGCACTTTTAAGTAATTTATGAGCCTTTGAGTGGTGTTAAAGCGACCGAGTCCTGGCAGTAAGAGAGATGTTTGTGGACAAGTGTGCTTAATACTTTTAAAAACTTGAGCCATAACTATGTTTGCCTGCTACCCAATTATTAGAGTCACTGGGGTGATTTCCGTTTCCTTTTTTTTCTTTAAAGAAAAATTAGGAATTCTGATAAGTGGAGGAATACCTTAAAGTGTTTAATAACAAGAATACTGCTTTATATCCAAACAAAACCAATTTTCTGACAGGTCTCATTTGATCCCCACGAGACTCAATTTAAACATATCAATGAATTGTCACACTTTCCCACAGGCCTTGAGGCACGCTTGCCATAAAGAAATACAGTCACCATCTTTTTCTCAAAGTTTGATCTAAACAGATCAGGCTCTGGGGCCTTGGGGTTTGTGGAAAGAGGGGACCCTGGACTGAGCCCTTCTCCCCCTCCTTTGAGTCCCCTAGAGTTTATGGGGACCCTGTAGCTGGCTGGTGCCCGTGTCCCCTCTGACGACCTCTAAAGCCAAGAGCATCACTCCCGTCTGGACAGAGGTTTCCAGGTGTGGGATGCCGAAACAAAACAGGAGAACGACGGTGTTCAACCTTCAAAGACATTAGGATCATGTCGCTAACATCCAAGTCCGCAGACTTGTGCACACAGGGGGCCCTCCCTCATTCTCCATCACATGTCATATGTGCTATATGCATGCCTAGGTGCACACACAGAGCATCAAGACCCTTGTCTTGTGACTGTGCTGTGTAATAGTCACCCTCAAACTCCAAAAACCTCAGCATGCGAGCATAAGACATTCATTTGGTGCTGTGCCAGTTATACAACTGACATCGTAAACACACATTATCAGCTTACCATTTTAGCGGATGGAGAGATGAGCTACAATGCAACAGGTCAGTAATTCCCTCAAGGTCATGGCGTTGGGAAATGTGAGCCTACTGAACTCTGATGATCCTTGCAATCCCCGAATTCCCGCACGCGGAGCACAGGTCAGACCCTGCTGGAACAGCCTGTAACAAGCTTCCGCGCTGAACTGACACTGAGCAAAGTCCTCCTCACCGAGTACACACATCATCAGATGCAAAGAACATAACCCTGCTCCGTTGGTTGCTTCCTGAGCAGGTATTCATTCGGTTACTTGCAGAGCTCCATTTGAATACGTGCAAGCAGGCAACTTCCTAGGGAGGAGAGTATGTTGGTTGATAGAGTCCTTCTGTTCTGATTTGATACGACTTTTGTGATGGCCTTACAAGATAAGAAATGCTGAGACAATAGCTCAGTGGGACAAGTGGTTGCCACACAAGTCTGAGAACCTGAGTTCGGATACCCAGGACACACATAAAAAGCTGGGTGCACTAAGCAATAGAGAGGGTGCCTGAACTGGCCTTGCCCTGGAGTCACACTGATGATTATCTTAAATATCGCCATAGAACCTTCGTCCAATCCCAGATGGGAACAGAGGCAGAGACCCACATCGGAGCACTGGACTGAGCTCCCAAGGTCCAGTTGAAGAGTGGAAGGAGTGAGAGTATGAGCAAGGAAGCCAATGAGGGGCTCACCCACTGAGACAGTGTGCCTGATCTAATGGGAGCTCACCAACTCCAACTGGACTGGAAATGAACGAGCATGGGATCAAACTAGTCCCTCTGAATGTGGTTGACAGTTGGGGCAGACTGAGGGGCCACTGACAATGGCACTGGGATTTGTCTCTACTGCATGTACTGGCTTTTGGGGATCCTATTCTCTTTGGATGTATATCTTGCTCAACATGGTTGTAGTGAGGAGGGCCTTAGACTTCCCACAGGGCAGGGTGTCTTGCCCTCTCTTAAGACTGGAGAGGGGTGTGTGGAGGGAGTGGGAGGCAAGTGGGAGGAGGGGATGAAGTGGGAATTTGGATTGGTATTTTTTAAAGTAATAAAATAAAATAAGCTGGGTGCAGAGCTCCATACCTGTAATTCCAGGTCTGGAAGGTGCAGACAGGAAGATTGTGAGCCTTATCTGCTACATAGTCTAGCTGCTCAGTGAGCTCTAGGCTTATCGAGAGAATCTATCTCAAAAATAAATTTTAAAAAAGAGTAAGTGGAGGACAATTGAGGAAGATACTCAATGCTTATCTCTGGAACATTTGTGTATGATTGTGTATGAGCACATGTGTGTGTATGCATGCGTGGCAGTGTATTTTTGGAGAAGCTTGCCCGAGGTAAACAAAACAAAATGGTGGCTTTAAGTTACCTTTGCTAGACACACTGTATTATTTGCCAGACTGTAGAGATGGCTATCACAGAGGAGCCTTCGAGATAAACAATGATTGAGTCTAGGTGTGAGCACAATTATTCAACAATAAATTTCCCATTGGAGTCTAATGCCCATCTACGTTGTCCTTCAATGTCACTGGGAAAATATAATTTAATTGTTAACATAATTTAGCATCTATGCAGGAGTTTCAGCATCTCTGATAGAAGGATCTACTTGCTGTGATAAACACTGCACAGCCAACCATACGGGGCTGTGCCTGCATCGAGCAGTTTGCTGAGGGAGTCGTAAGCGCAGCCTGCCCCATGCATTCAAGTCACTTACTTTATGCAGGTTTGTGCCAGGCAGCTGGCTGCACCTCAGGAAATCTGTTCCATCTGATCCCAGATTTCAGGGTCGGTCTGGGGACACAACTGTCTGTGCAAATCAGTCAAATACATGCTTTTCTCGTTGCATTCTCAAGTGACAAGCTGCCTATATGCAACATATTTGCAAAGTTGCATCTACCATAATGCAAGAGTAGGAAGGCATACTCCTGCTTGGGTTAGGATCCCGGCAACTAAGAGTGAGTGACATCATCTCCAATGTAGCCCTTCAATGCATTCATATAAAACCTGTTATTAGAGCGTCTCCCACATAGAAGGGTGTTGAAAGAAGGGACTAGTCCTAATATTTTAAGCCCCATCCTTTATTCGTCTGAATCCATTTACTCCAAATGGCCTACAAGAGATAGCAATTTCCCTGCAGGAATCCACTTGCTCTGGCAATGCTTTAGTGGGATGTGACTTTGCAAAAGCTCATAGTTATCTGTTTTCCATGTCCTGCTTCCTGTTGGAATTGGTGCTCATCAGTACCCGCCCAAAATGTGTATAGGTTTCGGAGCTGCAGGGATATTCCTAATGTTTTTGCCGAGCTTAAAAAAAATAATCGATGCTTCCAGAGAGTCTGCTGTGAAGTGTGACTGTCTGACTTGTCCCTAGAGGTAACCGAGAGGCACACACACACCACACTGACTTCAAAGCAAACAATGGCCTTTTAACAATAATTATTAATTAATTAATAGATAACAACCTTTGAAAGGGTGCCAAGCAAACTTTTCAGCAGCATTTTCCACATTAAAAAAAAATCTATAAACCTTTCTTATTTTGACAAAAATAGCCACCTCCAGCTTGACCCTCATAACATTTGCTTCAGATTAATTTCTTTTTTTAACTCAAATGTTTTGTTGCTAAATCCCATTTATGGCTGAGTACCTCATTTTGAATAAAAATAGAGCTCCATCTTTTTTTGGGGGGGCATAGCCTCCAAAATACTTGGCAGATTCAGAAAATGTGTTTGGAAGTCACGGAAACAAGCCACTCCCATTCATTCTTATTGATTGTCCCGTATGTGCTAGAGTGTGCACCCTCCCCACTCTGTTCTTCTTCTTGCCCATCTGTTTATAGCATGGCCATTCCCGAGACCCGACGAGGCTAAGGCATGCTTGCACATGGCAGTAACCCCATCTTCTCTCTATGGCTGGATGCAAAGGTCCAGTTCTTCCAGCAAGGTCACATGTGCCACTGTGCACACACGAGCTGGTTTGTCATCTTTTGCGACTGCAATTTTTATTACATGTGCTTTTGGACAGTGTCACACACTTGCATAGGGAGGGTGACCTGGTAACTCTCCCCACACCCTTTCTTACCTGGTTACCTATACTGTTTCTCACATTTGTGCCTTCGTTTTGCTTTGCTTTGGGACCCGTTCATTTTAACATTGGCCACCTGTGTGATCGACTGCAACTCTGGGCATGCGACTGAAGACAGTAACCAGTCCCCTTCCCCGGGGCCAACAGTAGCCAGTGCCTAATGCCTTTATCTGAAGGTTCCTCTGGGATTGCAAAGTTCATCCTAATTAATTTAGTTTATTAGTTCTATTAATTTAGTTACAATATCTGGAGAGCAACTTTTCTCCTCATCAAATATTCTGGCATGTCCCATGACTGAGGCAGAACAAACACTGTACCCTGTTCTGTCCTCTGATCGCCATTCCAGAGAGGTGGCCAGGTGGTTACAGGCGCCCCCTCCAGCCACTAATGCTTAGGCTATGGTAAAGATCCTGCCAAACTGCCAAGGAAGGCTGATATGTACCCCAGTTGTCTGGATCAGCTCGAGAAATGGTTCCTGGGATGCCTTCCCTGCAAGCATGAGCTTCACATTTCCGGCGACCTGCCCAGACAGCCGTGCTGAGTGACATTACACCGGCCCAAGGCTGGTTTGGCCACTAAAGGAAAGTGGTCTTCCTGGGCTTACTCACAGTCAGGAGTGAGTGTACAGGCCTCCCCCTGGGAGAGCAGCCTGCCCAGGGCCAACCTAGCACATTTACACGGTCACCCTCCATTAAAGCATTGGGGGATCTGGAGGGGGCTAGATTCTGGGCACCCCTGGGGGTTGCAGCTGCTGCTGTGTTGGCATCGATAGAAGCCATCCTCCAACACGGAGAATACATTCCGAACCCCAGAACCTCACCAGACACCTTCAAGAAGCAGAGGGCTGAGCATGTCCTCAGGCCGATGACTTCCTTCTGTGTCTCCACGGGGTAGGAAGAAGGAGAGGATATTACTACACCCCCAGTGACCCATGTGGCTGTTCCTATAGTGTCTGCTTCCCTGCCAGCTTCCTAAGGGCAGACACTGAGGACCTGCATTGCCTTCCCATGCCCAATGCATGGCTCTGTGCATGGCACAGAAATGGTAGCACACAGCCCAGCTTCCACCTTTGGCTCAGCAAATTACAGCAGGTAGAAAAGCAAGCCACGGGGAACTCTTCCCACCTGGTCGGTGTTGGGCTTCATGAGTTCTGAGCTTCCCCGATGCCACGTGTGACGTGGGGCTCCCAGAGAACACTTCAGAATGTGGCCCGAAGAGCCACCTGTATGGCAAGAATCACCTCCATGTCCTTTAGATAATGACTCTGCATGAAGAGGCCAGATCTTGGGTCTCTTAGCCAAGATCCCTATGGGTAGTTTATGTTTAACAAATACAGAGCGAACAGAGCAGTTGTGCTTCTCAATCCCGGTGCCAGCCTGCACCTTCCAGCACCTGCTGGGTCCATAGCGTGGACACGCTGACTTCCATGACTGGCATCTGTCACTGCCGTTGCAATGCAGCTCCTCCTTTCTTTCATTGAGAGGAGGCTGCACCTCCCTGAACACGAGGCGCCCTGGCCATCAGTCTTCTAGTAGATGTGATGTACCCTGTGCCAGATGCAGCTCTGGTGGCCTCCTGTGCCACCTCCCGACTAGGAAACAAAGAGGCAGAGCTCCTGCTAGTCTGTAGTACAGGAGCTTGACTAGGGAGATCAGACACCTTTGATCCGGGTTTCCATGCTTGTCGGAAATAGAATTTATTGATTGACACAGCAGATCAGCAGCAAGCTTAGCATTTATTGAGAAGAAGAAATTTTGTGAAAACCAATACCTACCCATTAGGGGGCAGTTTGGAGTGTTTCACCAGGAGGACCATACTGGGGTGCTTCAGATACTGGTGTGGGGTGTTGGGTGAGCAGCCCGCAGCAAAAGATATTTCCTAATTGTATCTTTATGCAGGGCTGGAACTCCACGTGACTCAGGGCTTAGACCGGAGTCAATATAGTGCAGAGCCATGCTGACAGCCTCCAAGGGGAGTGGGGTAAGAGAGGAGGGTTCTTCAGGGTGCTGAGGGAGGATGAAAAGGAGAGGGGAGGGGACCTGGAGGGCCAGACACACACATCCTCTGGTCCGACACTCCTGCCTCGCCCCAGCCGTGGTTTATGGAGTACTCACAGCTCTGTCTGACTCCATTAAGCACTTCCATTTCCCTAAAAGACAAATTAATCTATTTTACTAGGCTGATAATTGGAGAGTATTAAACCTAAACACCACCTTAAAAGTCACGGAGAGACTTCCAGCTGTTTCTCTCGGGAAGTGCAGTCTGCTGGCTGTCCTGGAGTCACGGGCCATCCGAGGACACTGCGCTACCCAGGCTGCGGCTCGTCAGCCTTGACCCAGTGGCCAACTCTAACTCTATGTTAGAGCTCATGGCCCAGCAGAAAGGTCCAGCAGTGACCTTGGTGCCTGAGGGCCCTGACCAGGGAACTCTGTCTCGGTGACCTCCTTGTGTTC